ACTGGGTAACTTACTCATGTCGCGTCAATCGTGAATGCGAACGGTCCCTGTTTCACAAGATGTCAGCAGATCAGTACAAGTGCCTTATTTATGTGTGCGGTCTTCAGGCGGCCAAAGATGCTGATGCCCGAACAAGAGTCTTGAATAGAATCGAACCAAATCCAGAGATTACACTGCAGGAAGTGACGAATGAATGCCAACGGTTGATGGATTTGAAACATGATGCTGCGATGATCCAACAGTCGCCCACCCAGAGCAGCCCGGACATCATTTGCAGGGTCAGTCGAAATCCACACAAGGAACCAGTTCATGTGAGTTCAAAAGATTCAAAACCCCCTTCTCCTTGCTGCTTTTGCAGAGAGTGGCATTTTGGCCGAAACTGCCCGTTCCGGATCCACATTTGCCGCCGTTGTGGTAAGCGAGGGCACAAGGAGTCGTGTTGTCTTGCAAGACGATCAACAGTGATCGGAATAAATCGTCGAATTCCGATGCGCTCCCGATGTCACAACGAAGCTAAAACAGTGACGGCAACTTTCAAGGTTGATGGTGCCAGCAGGCGTAAGTTCACTGTGCTGAAGATCAATGGTAAACAAGTTAGATTACAGTTGGATACTGCGTCAGATATCACCTTGCTTTGTCGAGAAACATGGTGCATGCTGGGGCGACCGCCACTTGTCCACACAGACCACACAGCACGAAACGCATCCGGGGGTAGCTTGAAACTGCTCGGAGAGTTGCATTGTCAGGTCAGTTTTCGCGATCAGCATATACGCACCACTTGTTTTGTGACGGATCAACCAGGATTGAATTTGCTTGGTCTCGACTGGATGGACGAATTGAACTTACTTGACCAGTCGGTAAACAGTATTTGCCAGAAATTACAAGTTGAGAAACCCGCTCAGATGCTGAATATGAACCACGAACTCTACACTCAAATCGCTGAACTAAAGCGACGCCATGAAAGTTTGTTTCAATCCGGTCTTGGATGTTGCCGTATTGCCAAAGCAGAATTGAACCTCAAACCAGACGCTAGACCGGTTTTCAGACCAAAACGTCCAGTGCCGTATGCAACACAACCAATTGTGGAATCTGAGTTGAGTCGCTTGCAGTCGGAAGGCATAATCGAGCGTGTACATTTCTCGGAATGGGCGGCACCCATCGTTGTGGTGAAGAAATTAAACGGTAAGGTACGTATTTGTGCTGACTTTTCGACTGGTTTAAATTCCATGTTGGAGGCACACCAATACCCTCTGCCTATACCTGAAGATTTGTTCTCCAAGCTTAACGGTGGAAAATGGTTTGCCAAACTCGATCTAGCTGACGCATACCTACAGGTTCCAGTGGCTGAGAACTGCAGAAAATTATTGACGGTCAACACGCACCTTGGTCTTTTTCAGTATAATCGGTTGCCTTTTGGTGTGAAGACGGCTCCCGCTATCTTTCAACAAATCATGGATACGCTCCTGAACGATATCCCTGGGGTCGCAGTGTACTTGGATGATACATTGATTATGGGGTCTGACCCACAAGCTTTGATGGCCACTTTGGAGAAAGTGTTAACCCGTCTAGAGGAAGCTGGTTTTCGGTTACGAATGGAAAAGTGTAATTTCCTGATGGAAAGTGTTAAGTTTCTCGGTTTCCTCATTGACAAACATGGTCGGCGTCCGGATCCCGCTAACATAGAAGCTGTCCAGCAGATGCCACCACCGAAAGACGTTGCCCAACTTCGCTCATTCCTGGGTCTTGTGAGCCATTATAGTGCTTTCTTACCAAGCCTACATCAGACAAGAGGTCCTCTGAACGAGTTGCTGATGAAAGGGAAAGAATGGCGATGGACAAAGGAGTGTCAACAATCCTTTGATACAGTGGAAAAAGCACTTAGTTCCGACTTGCTTTTGACTCACTTCAATCCAAACTTGGAGATTGTCGTCGCTTCGGACGCTTCCAATTATGGTGTGGGTGCTGTTATTTCTCATCTGTTTCCAGGAGGAGAAGAGAAGGCTATCGCCCACGCAGCGCGGTCCCTGACGGTGGCGGAGAAGAATTACAGCCAGATTGAGAAGGAAGCGCTGGCGATCGTTTTCGCAGTGAAACGGTTCCACAAGATGTTATACGGCAGACATTTTAAACTGATTACGGATCACAAGCCCTTGTTGTCGATATTCGGATCGAAGAAGGGTGTTCCTGTTTTCACTGCAAGTCGGTTACAGAGATGGGCTACCATACTGCTAGGTTACGATTTCAGCATACAGTACCGCTCAACACAACAACTCGGCCAAGCTGACGCTCTATCTCGCCTTATCAGCTCCCAGACGAAGGAGAACGATGAATGTGTGGTCGCATTTGTTAATTTCGAGTCAGAAGTTCAGCAAATTCTGTTTGACAGTGTACGAGAGTTGCCTGTAACGTCGGACACAATTCGTGTGAAGACGGCTAAAGACGAACTCTTACCGAAAGTGATAGAGTTCGTGCAATCCAGCTGGCCCAATATCAGAATTTCGGCTGACCTACAACCCTTTTACAATCGACGCGGATCTCTTTCGGTTGTTGGTAATTGTCTGATGTTTGGAGATCGAGTAGTGGTACCGAAAAAGTTGCGGAGCCGAATTCTACAGCAGTTTCATTCAGGACATCCAGGAACCAGCCGAATGAAGGCGCTGGCACGAAGTTTTGTGTATTGGCCCCAAATAAATTCAGAAATCGAACAGTTTTGCCAAAGATGTGAATCTTGTCAGCAGGCGGCGAAGGCCCCTCCAAAGTCTCCGTGGCCACCTTGGCCCGAGTCGGAGAAGCCGTAGCAGCGAGTACACTTGGATTACGCAGGACCAATCAACGGTCAGTCCTACTTGATTTTCGTTGATTCCTACACGAAGTGGCCCGACGTGATTCCGATGCAATACCCCACCGCCCAGCACACTATCAATGAGCTGAGCAAATTGTTCCAGTATTTTGGCACACCGGAAACACTAGTTACGGATAACGGACCGCAGTTCACATCTACGCTATTTCAAGTATTCTGCGCACAAAACGGAATTCGGCACAAGTTTTCACCGCCGTACCATCCACAATCAAATGGGCAGGCCGAAAGATTCGTAGATACATTTAAATGTGCTCTTCTTAAGGCGGAAGGATCGAGGGTGTCACGAGATATAATCCAACCGTTCCTGAGAATGTATCGCAACACTCCGAATCCAAACACACCAGAAGGGAAGTCTCCTGCGGAATGCCTCTTCGGACGAAAAATTAGAACGATATTTGATAGCCTGATTCCTAGATGTGATGAAAAACGCAGCGGACAAACGAACGAAGAGCAGGAAGGGAGACTTCGTAGGTTTAAGGTCGGTGAACTGGTGTACGCACGAAACATCCCGACTCCGGGAAGGTGGTCCATCGGAACGGTTATCGGAAAAAAGGGTAAGGTTATATATGAGATAATGGTCGGAAAGGCCAAGTGGACCAGGCATGTCAACCATCTACGGCCACGACATGGAAACACCCAGAGACCTCAAGCATCGTCAAAACTACAGTGGGACATTCTGCTAGATACATTTGGATTGGAAAACGAAACTGATGCCTCAAATAGGATAGAACCGGTTGCTCAATTACCGCGTGATATACCGAGCAAGCCAAGTCGAAGACGAAGACAGTCGCAGTGGCTGCAAGTGAACCCAAGGGAAAAAAGCTACGACCAAGCTCAGGTGCGAAAGGTAAGGAGAAGCAGTCCTTTGAAAGAGGGAGGTGCTAGAGAGGCGGGCCCAGCCAATGTCCGAATACGAGATCGCAAACGTGTGTGGGTTTCCTGTGGAGTACGTGAGCTGTCTGCTACATGTGAAAGCACGAGCACGGTACAAAGTCAAACTGTTCGGAAAGCAGGCACGAGTTTTTGGCCAACGAATACAAGCCAGTTCAGGCGAGAGTTTTGGCTAGCAAAGACAAGTCAGCGCCAAAGGAGGCAGTGCATTCGGCCAAATATGGAAAAACCGTGGAACCAAAATCACTGACATTGGCTGAGAGCCAGTCGCATAGCTAGGCTTCCTAAAAATAGTACGTTTCGTTACCTAATAAATACGAGCGGTCTGTCGTGTAGAATATACTCCCTGTTACCGAGTCTTGGCCTTTTTTCTGTATCCCGTTGGTTGGCTGGTGCGGGACTGAACAGTCAGACGGTCGTAGCCTAGCAGGTTCCGTGTTAAGGAAACAGTACTACAACACTAAAGTCCTCGGAAATAGACTCTATACATTACAAATTTGGTTTGATGAAGATCGTCGTGCACGGCTAACTGATAACATGACAGCGGAGCGGCTTTCCTAGGTTCCCTCTAGCAAGACTATACTTTCGCTCGACAGTTTCAATCGCTTGCTTTTGTTTTCTACTCTGTGTTGTTTCCGTTACGGCCATAAATACCTTACTGAGTTAATTCGACTTTCTGTGCTACTTTGTACCTTCCATAGTGATTGATAGTCTTCCCGTGGTCATTTACGCGTTTTTCCCATAGCGGTTTTCTTCACCTATATTTGTTTCTTGATATTGCCGACCGGTAGCCTGAAGGATGTAGCGTCCATCGTGTAACCCAGTGGTCACCTGTTCGAATCTGCGTAGGTGTAGGCGATCTCGCAGTATTTCCAGCCGCATTCTGTTGGTTTGTGCTCAAGCGACATTCATGTCTCGGTGCAGCGTATTTCTGACAGCTTCACCTTCCTATATTTTTTATATCCTGGTCTTGTACGACCTGTCAACAGACCCATTAAAGGGGTTGAGTAGCATCAATTCCAAAACAGCTAGAAAACGTTTTAGCATAGTTATTTTTAAATAATTGCTTATCATTACGTTTACCGTTATTGCCATGGGCACCACCATCAAGATGCTTAAACAAGGACGTGTTCGTAACCTATTCGCGGTTGCTCTTCTGCACTGTGATTATCCTCTGTTGCGTAACAATGGTTATGTCCCACTTTTATCATTTTCATTTCATGTTGTTGAACATTGTTTTGTCATGCAGCATGCGGACGGATGTTTTCCGTGCTTTCGTTGCCATTCAGTCTAAGTTGGATGATTCCGTGCCTCCCGAAATGGCACGTTATGTGAACCGGAAGGTGCGAGACGGAAGACGCAATGGTGGGGTTCATGCTTGTTCTCACGTTCACCGTTTTGTCCAGGCCTTCATTTGGATGAAGAGGTACGGAGCAAAATTGAAGCCCTGTTCAAAGAAGAGAACAGGCTGTGTATTGATTTCTCGCATGCCTTAGGTGAAGAAAACACAATGCTGGAATTCACGAAAGAAGAGCTAAGTAAGCCATCTCTCTTCTTCCGCTGTACCGTATCACTCTGACGGGCTTGGACAGTTGACATCACACTGGTTTTTTTCATGTTTCCATTCTAGCCGGCTGTCCCGAGGATTTTCTCTGCAGTCTAAAAACGGTTGGTCTGTTATATTTTTCGTCCTTTATCGATTGTAATCTTTTTTTCCTGAACGCCGATTTGCAACGTCAAGCGAGAGACCCGTTATCCTGCTAATATTTTTGCTGCTTGCCGCACTGGTTGTTGCCGTCTATTTGGGTTACCTAGCAACATTTTGTTCTGCTCGCTTGTAGTGTCTTTCGTAGGGTCAAAGCAACTAGCTGGCTGCTTTGTGATGTGCCTAGTGAGACTGATTTTTCTACAACACGGTGCCCGCGGTATGAACCACCTCGGTATTAGTAAGCACCATAGAATGTATCACAGTTAAGGAATCACTGTGAATGCCAAAATCAGTCTCTAGATTCCAGCTGCCAACACCTTAACGAGACTGGACCTTAACGTGATGTGACGGTTTGTGTACCTCCTCAACCAATGGACCTACACTGCGTAAGGCCTTTGGGTTCCTTCATATCTACCACCACGAGGTTGGTCAATGAGTAGATGTCAGACAAATTCAGTCTCCTAGGCCCCCAGGTTGCGGGTTTGAATTGACATAGCATCCATTTCCGTAAAACCAAGTCATTACCACCTCCCGCTGACATGCGGACAGGATTTTGAGCAAAACGCTTTGCTTGAGGACCGTAATCGTTCTCCTCTCTAGGTCTGAGCACCCCGGCAGTGTCTCAGCCCACATAAAACCATGATTATTTCCACAAGCTTTAACTACATCCTGCCTCGGCCGTCGCGCAGATTATCAAGGGTAGCCTTACCTGCCGCATAGAGCAGAGCGGATAAGCGAAGACATGCTACTGCTGGCGCCTCCCTTCTTTCCTTTCCAACTGTTTCTCGTACTCCCTTCCCCATCCCCATTACTAGCCTTTTATAATTTTCAGCTTAATTGACAGCAGACTTAATGTCACTGGAGTCATACCATCTGCAGCTGTCCCCGTACCACCCTACTCGCCAACAGCTCCTTATAAAGCCACACCGTCCCGTTTCCATTGCGCGTTGAAAGTTCTCACCCTAAGACAGATAGGTCAGCAAGCTGCACTCACACGCACGTTGGATACACTGGGTATTTGACATGTGTTGCGTATCCGAAACTAAAATCAATGATCCTCATGGGGTTGTTGAAGCAACTGTCCCCGGTTCGTCCTCTCTTTTTGGTTGCACCCATCCGGAGACACTGCTGCGGCAACCACTGGTCAAGCTGGAGTGGGCATTGTTCTCAGCTCCAAGGCTGAAAATTCACCCCATACGGATGGATAAAACTTAATTAGACATGACTTGACTTGAGTCCTCGTTGCTTGATTAGAGTTCCATAAGCAGCCGTTTGTGTGCATCCCGTTTAACGACATCAACTATATAAATATATATATATATACATATACATATATATATATATATATATATAGTTGGCGGCATCCGGTTTCGGATTTGCCTGTCACTGTGGCAAGCCACAGGACGCCTGCGCCTACAGAGGGACCATGGGTGGCTTGCGCTGCACCACCCACAGCTCCAACCACATACCCCATATCCAGTGTAAACCCGAAGGAATAAGACCGGGAGGCATGCGGATGGGAACCACGTTTCATCAACGGAGCCGGCACACACTCCTTCACAGGCAAACACAAGCACACTGTATTTGGGGAATCAAGCGCATACAAGGCGGTGGCTGGACCGTAGTCCGCTCCACACTGACTGCATGGAACCACTCTTTGATCCTAAAACGGTCACAAGAACCTTGCCCCCGGTCCCCTCCAGCAACGACCAACTGTCTCCTGGAGCCAGTATGGACGAGGTAGTGGGTAATAGACAGGTAGGCACCTTGCCAACATGCACATCAAGCGCATCCACACGGGGGATATCAAACAATAGCCAAACACTTGAAAGAGAGAAAGAAAAAGAGAAAAACTCGATTAATGCATAAGGAAACGGTGATATAAACCTTAATTAAATAGCATATGTAATAAGTTGTTTACAAACAAATCCTAGCTAAGTGCACGAGGTCAGGAAGTATAGTTCACGGAATGCCACGAACGCAAAAATGTTATGGAAATCGAATACAATTGGCTTAGGCGATGTGTGCAAGTTAATGAAATAGAGTACAGGGAGATATTTATATGAGAAAGAAAAGCATTAAGGTAAAAACTGTAAACCCACCACCTGAAATAAAGAGACTTAGCATGCAAGCACGCGGTTAGTAAATCGAATTCAGCGTGCCTACAAACGCTGCGCCGGCTCGCCGTAATTCTCTGTAGGACCCGTCGTCGCTTCTGTAGTGGTCCCTAATGGCATAGCTCATGGCCCACTAGACATTTATATGAGAAAGAAAGGCATTAGGAGGGAACCGAAAACCCACCACCTGAAATAAACTTAGCATGCAAGTATGCGGTTAGTAAATCGAATTCAGCGTGCCTACAAACGCTGCGCCGGTGCTGATTACGTTCACTGCGAGACCCGTCGTCGCTTCGGAAGTGGTCCCGAGTGACCTCTCTCATGGCTCACTAGGCCTGCCTGACTAAGGCACTCGCGATCGCATGTTCTACAGCACCATGCGCTCGATGTCGATGGAGTACAATTCATCGGTGCTTGCCGCTTCCGCAACTGCCGCTTCTTCTCTGCATGCATGAGGGCTTTCTCCCGCACTTCAGCAACTGCCTTCGTGATTAGATCGCGCCATGCACGCCGATCAACCGCCTTCGATTCCCATGATCTGCAATCAAGATTAGAACGTGTGAGGCTCACTTTAATCATGTCCTGGTAACGGAACTTTGGTTTCCCCACGTGCCGCTTCCCTATACTCAGCTGACCGTATAAAAGTTGTTTCGGTATCCGCGCCAAATCCATACGGCTCACATGACCGAGCCATCTCAGGTGTCGCAGTAAAAGTATGCCGTCCACTGCATACATCCCACTTCGGCGCAACACTTCCGTGTCTGCGACTCTGGCGCCCCAACCGATGCGCAAAATTCGTCGCAGACACTGCTGATGGAACCGCTCGAGATATCGCACATCCCGACGGTACATCGTCCACGTTTCACTGCCGTATAGAAGAACGGACAGTACCATGGATTTGTACACCATCAGCTTCGTGCCAATGCTAAGCTGATGGTTGTTCCACACTCGGTACTCAAGCTTCCCGAATGCCACTGCCGCCTTCGACACGCGAATACGCAACTCAACGTGTAGCTGCTGATCAGTCGATATCACACTCCCAAGGTAGCAAAGCGGGAGGTGGTTTCCAATACTTCAGCACCAATGCTGATTTGCGGCAATATTGAAGATTGCACCTCCGGTGAAGGCTGAAAGAGACAGACAGTTTTGCTTGTGTTGATGGTGAGTCCGAATTTGGCCGCTATCAAAGCCAGAGCACTAGTCATGTGCTGCAACTCATTCGCGCCGTGTGCAAACAACGCACAGTCGTCAGCAAATAGCAACATACGGATAGTTTTTTCACAGACTGGGGTTCTCGCACCGAAGCGAGGAATGTCTGGCAACCCACCATCAATACGGTGCTCCACACGAACACACTAAGCACAAGCCGATTCAAAAGCACAAGGCATCATGGCATGAAGATATATATTAAACAGGGCAGAGCTAAGACACAGCCTTGCTTCACACCAGAGACAACTGCAAAGTCATCCGAGGTCTCTCCACTCAGCTGCACCCTCGCTCGCGTACCACTGTGCAGACATTCAATTAAACTTACAAAATTACGCGGGCAACCAAATTTACCCACCACCAGCCACAATGCCTCGCGGTTCACCGTATCAAATGCCTTGGTGGAATCAACAAAAAGCGAGTACAATGGCTGGTGTCGTTCTCTGCACTTCTCTTGCAACTGACGAGCCGCAAACACCATATCTATAGTGCTGCGACCCGAACGGAATCCACATTGCTCTTCCGCCACGTTAGGTTCCACAATCTGACTCACGAGGCGATTGAGAAGGATTCGGGCCATCACCTTGCCCACACAACTCAGCAAGTTGATGCCACGATAATTCGTGCAACATTGCTTGCTACCTTTGCCCTTGTACAGTAGTAGCACAAGGGCATCCTTCAGCTCAGCAGGCACCTCCTTTTCAATCCATACACGTTGCACCAAGTGGTGCAGCGCAGTCAACAACGCGGGTCCACCGTGTTTCAATACTTCAGGCGGGATCCCGTCGGCTCCGGCACACTTGCCGTTTCGCAGCTGAGCAAGTGCTCTCTGCGTCTCATCCCGTGTCGGCGTATCCGCCAGATCCGCCTTCACATCGTGCTGCTTGAGGCCGTTCAATGTACGCCAGTCGATCTCTGAACGGTTGTTCAAGAGACAGTCAAAGTGTTTCCGCCAGATCTGCATTATGTCTGCAGTCTGGGTGCAGGTAGCGCCTGAACTACCATCGATCAGTGTCCTCAGCGGCTCCAATCTCGGTCCATACACCGCCTTCAAGGAGTCAAAGAATTCCTTGTGTTGACGGCGTTCGGCGTAGCAATCAATCTGCTTCGCCTTCTCCGTCCACCATGCATTTTTAATGCGACGGAGCTCTCGGGTCAGTCGCCGTCGAAGTTTGCGAAACTGACTCTTCTTCCCCAAGTCACTGGGGTCTGCCACATGTGCAGCAAACACTGCATTCTTCTCTGACACCAATGCGCCAATCGTCACATTGTTGTCATCAAAACAATCAGGCCGCTTACAGTTTGCGTGCCCGATGGTCTCCTCGGCAGCAGCTGTCACCTGGCCGCGAATGTGGTGCCACAGGTCGCCCACTGTGGCTATGCATTCCACATCACACAGGCGTGCAGCCATCGCCTTCTCCAGCTCAGTATGTTTCGCCACAGTACCGAGGGAGAGAATGTTAAATTTACGCCGATTCACAGAGGGAGTGCAATACATAGATTTACGAAAATATATGTACAGTTTGGTCCGAACCAACTTGTGATCAGTGCCACACTCAGCTCCACGCAGTACACGTGTCATGCGCACTTCACGCATATCACGCTGACGTACGATGACATAGTCGAGCAGGTGAGCGTGACCACTCTGTGGGTGCGTCCAAGTTGCTATATCACTCGCACTCAGTGCAAACCGAGTGTTCGTGATCGTCAGGCCGTGAGTGGCACACAGTGAGAGCAGCCTGTCACCGTTCGCATTCGCTGAACCAATGCCATGCGAACCGATAACATCTCCACACCGATGCATCACACCCAACGCGCGCGTTGAAATCACCCAGCAGAAATAGTCGGTCGCTCGTCGGCACAGACCGTATCACGGGGGATAGCTCAGTGTAGAACTGATCACGCGTGTCATCAGGATAACACATGGTCGGACCGTACGTGCTTATAAAAGTAGCAAACTTACCTCTTCCGAGTCGTAGGCGAACAGTCATCAGTCGCGCGCTGATGCCCGTTGGTTCACCCACCAGCTGGCCATTCAGGCGGTCGGATATTGCAAATCCGACCCCATGATCACGTGGTGCTGAGGCGGCGTTCCCCACCCAGTAGAATGTGTAGCCAGCACCTGCTTCATGTAACTTACCTTGCTCAGCGAGCCGAGTTTCACTGAGCGCCGCAATATCGATGTGGTAGCGCGCCAGCTCCATTGCGACCAGTGCAGTGCGTCGCTCCGGGCGCTCGCTCGAGTTCCGGTCCAGTAGTGTGCGCACGTTCCGGCACCCGATGCTGAGTGCTTTGCGCGCAGGCATACGATTGCATTGGTGGGCAGTCGCACGCGAGCTGGTCGTTGTGCTTCGGAGGTTTGCTTGAGGGACTCCACCCGGAGCCTTTGGCTCAATAGCCTGACCCATAAGGCAGTGGGTGGTTTGGAGGTTTGCTTGAGGGACTCCACCCGGAGCCTTTGGCTCAATAGCCTGACCCACAAGGCAGTGGGTGGTTTGGAGGTTTGCTTGAGGGACTCCGCCCGGAGCCTTTGGCTCAATAGCCTGACCCACAAGGCAGTGGAGAGCAGATCCAGCTCGGGAATGTGATTGCAGAGACAGATTAGGATCTGCTTGACGGCCGTCACACGCAGCGTTTGAGGTTCTGGAACAATTATCCTATGTTTTGCGACCGTAATTGGATATGCACCTGCGACCACGGCCAGACGCAGGTGGGTTTTTGGCGGGTTTGCACCAATTTGACCAGGGGCTGCTTGGCTTGAGGCGGGCAGTAGCAAACCATTGAACACCTGGAGGTGTCCTCCCACCGTCAGAGACAATGCGTGGCCCTCGTGCTCTACGCCAGTCGAGCTTTGAGAATATCACCCGTAAACCTGTTGTCTCCCATGGCTCGGTTTTACGGGAAGAGGGCCATCGACCACTTCCTAACCTCCGGAGAGGATGGACTAGGATACTGCCAGAGCGCCCAATCCTGACAGGAGAACGACTCGGGTCCTCAGCCAAAGTCTTCGATTAAATGAACACCCGAAAGGCAGCGGGTCTAGCACATGGTCAGTTAGTTGACTCATGCGGATTGGTGTCCTGGATCTTAGCAGGGAGAAGGGCGAAACCCAACTCCCACCCAGCGGTCGCCACGAGGAGGCGCCCAGGACATGAGAATATGGCGCAACAGTAGCAGCAGTGGGTAGACCATCTGTCAGGATCTAGCCACCACCAGCCTCAGCGCACCATAGGCTCTCCCGCCATATATATATATATATATATATATATATATATATATATATATATATATATATTGCAACAGTCTATGAATAGACATAGAGCCATGAGATACCCTGAAACACAAAAGAATGTACAGAAATTGTAAAAGAAAGCACAACACACTAAAGTCCATGGTTTCGTCAGAGTGCCAGATACTACCCGGTTGCCCAAGCCGAAGTAGGGTGTTGACTTAGGGGACACCACCCCGAGCCTTTGGCTGAATAGCCTGCCCACAAGACAGCGGAGCGAATTCAGGGAATCGCGCCCATTGGGAACCGGTGATTGATTGCTTAGTTCATACGCCTTTCGTTTGTTCCTTTGTCAAACAGGGGCCCAATGCTCCCCTGAATTACAGCACAAAGTTGCTGGAATACAATGCTTCGCAAGGATGAAGCAAGGGGCAGTGACTTTATTTAGTGGCGAGTCACGCCCGCCACGTCACAGTGTTGTTAAACGGACATATGTGGCTTTTTATAGGGAGAACGCTTGCCAGGCGAAAACCCACCATGTCCTGGAACACTGCCGCCGAACCATTTGCCTTAACGGGAAAATCCCGAACCACTCAGATGGCACCATGAGGAGGTTGTTCGGCAAGCCAGCCAGGGGCAGTGAAAACCGCAAGGGAACTGTCTCGCCGATGCCGCCTTATCTTTGCACGATAGCCAGCTGTTTGTGACGGTATGTTGTCTACACAAGTTGTAGGCGCCTTGACCCTGAGTGTTTGTTTCGAGCATTAAGCTTTTGCGTCAGGTCCTCCTTCTCCCTCTTATTGTGTTCTTCGTTCCGTGGATCATTGTGGTTGTACGGCAGCGGAGCAAAAGTCCAAATAACTGCTATGATGCTGCAGCTGCTACTATTTTTATACTCTTCGGCAAACTCTCACTCGCTATTGCGTCTTTTTCACCGCCGCTAATTTTCTCCATCATATCCTCCAAGTCGGTACTGTTGGCTGCTCTTCAATGCTATTATCTTTGCTCGTTATTATTATGGAGGTATTAATAATCATTCCTTACGTTAGCTAAAGGTGAGGAACACCTTAGCTATTATGTCGCAACACTACTTATTCAGATGATCACACAAAGTCAGACAAATATTAGACGTTAACATTATTAGGTCGCAAAAGTGAGATCGTAGTTAGAGGAGAATTGGCAGCTTGAAGGAGGGGGACGAAAATCGCACGACACAATTGCCACTGAAGTCGGGTCTTCATCCTGTCAACCTCTTTCAGACCTCAGTTCGGCAATCGGAAGACACCAACCGAGGCCACCTTCAAGTGAGAGTCTTCATTCCTCTTGAACAAGCCATCGGTTGGCTTCTCATCCGGACCCCGGTCGCACAAACAACGCATGTCGTGGGAGCCCGTGCTCTGGCATGCGTAACACATGGCCCAGCCATTGGAGCTCGGGGCTTTGAAAAATGGCGTTGAGCGTCTCTGTACTCTTTTTATGCCATGAACTAAACGGCGAATGCTCTCATTGCTCAGGCAGTGTTCTCACCAGATATGAGTTAAACTGCTTCAGTCACTGGTGATCGAACGCGAGTAGTCTCCCTGTCTGCAGGTCTGTATGGTCAGATTTCGCAACTCCGCAGTAGAGTTGGGCTGGCGGCAACATTGTTGACTCCACTTTTCCAAGCTAGATACTGACAGATTGTGATTACTTTGTTTCACACGTGTGACGTTTGGCTTCTTCTGCTCCGTCGCAGACGCATTAGTTCACTACTGTAATGCTTTCGTAACTATACCCCCTACGTTTCTAACCACAACTCTTTTGTCGAGCGATGAATGATCATACCCGTTGCTGATTTCCAGCTGTTTCTAGCGAAGCAGAACTATACAGGACGATCGTTCTCTCATCAGTCAAAGTGTTTACCTATCACACTTATTTAGGTAGTCTACAATTTGTTTTTGCTACATTCTCATCCTTCCTGCGCATCGGGTTACCATTGTTTCATTTCACATTTACATTGGTCTTGCGTCGTACCTCTTACTGCGCTTTTCAGATGCCATCCGGGAAGTTACAACTTAGCCTGAAGTATCCGCATTATATTCCTGCTATCGAAAAGGCATGTAATCCGGATACGAGGAAGAAGCTGGAATGCGCTTTCACATCCAGGTACTTTGGAATGTTTTCGTTTGCATTTGTGAATGAAGGTGTTGAGTAGATTTCCGTCGTTTGTGGATGTAATTGTGGCGATGTGGTTTCGTCACATGATAACACACTTGTTTACCATCCTGTTACATTACCTGACTATTGTTAAAGTACAGGACACTCGGTGAACCAATCACCTAAGCAGCTCAGCATATCTGCACGTTGTTTACATAATATTTTCGCTTCCATACGTAGCACGTCTTATGCGTACTGGGGTCCCAGTGAAATCAGCTTCTATATACGTAGTTAAGACGATGTAGTTGTTTTGCTACTATGCAACAAAGACCATATCTTGCCCTACCATTAATTTAAGCACCTGGATATCTTGATCCTGTCACTAATGAACGCCACTGCCCATGGGTTTACTTTGTTACATACCGCCACCTTCACGGTTACAGAATCGCGACTTTTGACGTGTTTCCCGTTGCACATCTCTGGCTACTCGCTCAAAATTCCTCAGCGACTCTCCTCTAAACTGAACTCTCATTGGTTGTTTACTTCTCCTTTCATTTGTGACCTTTACCAGACCTTGAAATAATGTCAGCGCATTTTAGTAGTGGCCACATCGTAATGATGGTTCACTGAAAGCCAAGCTGGCCTCCGTCCTGGTCGTGATTGCATTGACCACATGTGTACTCTTCGCCAAGTTTTAGGACAGAGACACATACAGACGACCGACTTGAAAGCCGTCTCCGACTATTGTCTGCATCACCCTGTGGCACTGCCTTTCCATTCTGAAGTCTATCTTGATTCCCGATGCCGTCTGAGAGTCTACTCGAAACTGTCTGCTGAGTTCCCAACGACAAGTGGGATTCCTCAGTGATGTCCTATATCTCCTTTCCTCTTCAACTTTGTGATTGAAGTTCTGGGTTCTTTCAAGGTACCGAAGTGAAGGTTTATCAAGTGACCGGCTGACAAATCCGGAGTATGCTGACAACATAGCGGTGGCCATGCAAACACTACTGCACAGACTGACGCGTAGCACTGCACGCTTTGATAAGTGCTATCCAACTTTGAATTACAAAGTATTGTTGCAGGACTGGATCGACGTACCTCCGATTCTAGCTATCACCGAACAGCCACTGGATGTGGTGGATATGTTTATGTTCCTTGGTAGTTGTGTCACTTCTGGTGGTCACATCACTGAAGAGGTTACTTCGTGTATCAGAAAGGCCTTTGTAGCTTTCCAGAGACTTAGTCATCTATAGAGATGGCGGGATTTCAAGCTGTCAGTGAAAGGTAAGGTGTATAACGCTGCGGTAAGGCCAGTCTTACTGTGTGGATCCGAGACCTAGCCAGTTTGCAGTGAGGACATCATGCGCTTGGCCGTGTTCGATCACCGATGTTTGCCCACCGGGCAAGCAATGCTGAAGTCTGATACTTGGTTTTCGCAAGAACCCTTCTGGTGCCTCACTCGAGTGTTTGCTGCATCTTAATCGCTCGCGTTGGCTAGATCATGTCCTCCGTATGCCCGCGTGCATTATACCTTGTTGCTGCACCAAGTTGGGCAAACTCGCGAGGTGGCATTAAGAAATTGACTTAGAGACCTGGGCAAGCTGGTGCGTGCCGTCTATGTGCATGGGCGCCTCGGGATGGTCCACACCAATGGTTGCAACACCTTTCACACATGGTGCAGTCACGCAATCAATAGTGTTGCTGCATTTGATTCCTTGCGTCTAGGTGCTAATTCTCATTCTGTTTTGACTAGTCTAACACATCCCTTTCTTGCTTCCATTTTCTATACTTACTATTTGTGTCCAACCCCACTATATTGCCGTTGTGAGGCCTGGCAACCTTATCTACCGCACTTCTGTGCTCGGATCCTACTTGTTAAACTGTGTTATTATTGAACTCACTAGACTTAAAATTTGCTCCCTGTTCTCTTTATGCTTTTTAGCTTTGGACAGGGCCAAGACCCATGTTCCTGTTGCTTTGCATTGTGCTAAAGTACAGCATTCGACCCAACTACTGCATCTGTTTGTTGTTTTGCTTTACAGATGCGTCGATGAAAACAAACCTATTCTGAAACGATTGATGGCCATCCGAAAAGAGGTGTGTCATTCGTTTATCGAGTTCCTACTCACATTTGATACCGCATTGCTTTTTACTTCACTGGTTCATCCTTATCGGTCATCAATGTCCGAAGCTGTGATGTCTTTGCTGTTATTCTGGTGTGTGCGCCCACCGACTGCGACCTGGAAAGCTGCGCATCCTTTACTGGTAGCTCAGCTGACATGCATCTGTTGCATCTTTTTTCTTTCATGTATTGCGGCACAGTGGCTGAAGTGTTTCCCACCTCTAGCTAACATGCATAATGATGGAAGCGACCAAAGATGCATCCTGTCGTTCGCCATCGTCCATCATCCTCATAACTAAGAATGATAGAATCTTGATCTTCGGTAGTGTCATGAACACCTTGACAAAACTCTTGTCGATGCGCAACTGTTTGTTTGCCCAGCCAGCATTGGCGGTCTGCTTCTACAACGATCAACGACACCGTGTTCCAGCGCAAACTTTCCATCGGTCCTCTCGCTGATCACCGATCTAACACACTAACCCAAGCTCAGAACGACCAGATTATTATCAGTTGGAGGTTGAGCACATTTCTCATTGGCCCTCGTTCTAATCGAACCAGTGCAGAACAGACTGGTTTTCCTCAGGGTGGCGGATGCGATAGCCACGTTTGTACCTTTTGTCGGTTGCTAGAATGACGCAATTCATGCAGTCCACTTACTGTGACCGTCTTCCATGACTTGAGACCCATTTTCCATTTGTTTGATCGCATCTGTTCATAGCATTTCAGCCTACGTAAACCGTGACTCTCAAGACCGTGGGCAGTGCGAAGGGACGTCCTCCCCTGCATACACCACGTCAAACGATGCACATCATGGCTACACTACTTCAATTTTTCTCTTTAACTTTCTAGTTCGTGAGTTCTGCAAAGTGACCAACTCGAATTAACTGGACGATGTGTCTAGCCTCGTGTCGAACCTTATCGCCTACCGCAGAACAAGATGACACAACTCGCCATAGGGTTCGGCGTGTGTTTCGCATCTCCAAAGTGCAAGTTACCGTTTCAAGACTTTTCCCCCCACCGGTTAACAACCACTCGAAATGATCATCCTGCCGCGCTTACCTAGGTGGTGACAGCGTCGAAAGGACTACTTTCCGTGTCACTGAAGCCAGATGGACTTTACAACTCCAAAGTAACCTATGTAGACGGCACGATGCTTGCTCGTCAATCTAGGGGCGAGTTTCAGTGTGGCCAGAGACAGGCACTTTGAGTTGGTGACATCAAAAGCTTAGCCCTCTACCATCTCTGGTGCATGCGCACCATTGGTTACACCTGGGTCAACCATCAACTTGCTAATAGGGAAGCGTTCCAACTGGAGTTTGGTAACGAGTACTTTGACTACCTACGTTATCTAGGGAGGTCACATCTTTCGAATTACTGTTTAATGTCTTGTCTCGACACGTTTTGCTTTTGGACAGTATGCCTGGCTGCGTGAATCCTTAGGACATGTCGGACAAACGAGAAGGAATTGACCAAATCGCGTAATCGTTCCGGGGTCGAAAAGTCTGCCTCGCAACCCGGAGGTCGCGATTCCGAGCTTGCGTAGGGAACCAAACGACTCTCGCAATACTCTTAGCCCACGCGCTACTGGTGATTGCTCGGCACCGAAGCATCGGTACAGCGCACTACTGATGCCTTTTTGATCGGAATAGCTTGCGCATTCCTTTTCTATGGACTCCTCGTGCCTGGACTGCTTAGTGGCTGGGCATCCAAACCGGCCCTACTCTGTTGGGAATCTAACGGTGCAGTCAGTACTTTGCACCTTGTCGTAGGCCTTATGGTTGTGATGTTGCACTTTAATACGCTAACACCATTCCCATCGTTTTTTGCATTCACAATTGTTCCACCACTGTCACGCTGATACCAGCCATTGAATCTGCCGTACTTCGGTGTTCAGATCACTGCTGCACTCTTCGTGCTGATATTTTCGTCAAGGTGGGAATACCCCTGCTGGACTCATCAAGTTGCATTCTGATACTGCTATGCTCTCAATCATTTGATGTCATTTTTATCCCGTAGGTTTATTTGAAACTGTTATGGTTACGTGGACTCGGTAGGACTTACTTCCGTGATTCATTGCCTCCTACTGATGGGCTTCGACTCAGGGATCTCTGATAAACGGCTTGCCATAGACTACGTTAGCTTTCACCTCGGTTGTGGTTTCCGTATTCACCGTTGGAACGAGTTTGCTTCGCAACTGTTTTGGTTCATCCTTGCCTCCACTTTGGGAACTGGATCGTCCCAGTGGCTATGCTTCTGCCACGCTTCTTCTATGCTCTTTTCGATAATTGGGCCGTCTCTGTGGTAACCCATAAGCCCCACCACTTGGTACGTTGTTCACTTCCGTCGCTTAGTTCACAATATACTCTTTACTGGCTGATAAACGCTTACATTAAATACTTTGTCATGCGTCTAGTCTCATGTTGTGTTGCCAACGTTGATCACCGGCAAGAACGGATTTCTTTACCGTCATTCTGTATATACAATAGACATATCACCGTAGTATTGAACGCTCAGCCTTTTGGGCCACTCATGAGGCCATTCCCGGTACCGCGCTGGTGACGATACAACATAACTGCCGACTTTGTCCCCCAAGTATTCAACGTGACGTGTTTCTACATCCACGAACGGTGAAATTGTTTCCTTCGGAATATTTTGTTCCAAAATATCATAACATGATTTCATCCAGATTTGTGCAACGATTGTCGCAGTCTAAGGCAGACAGAGAACTATATAACGTCCAGCAATGCAGATGGGGACCAATAACGTTTAACTGAGTAGTCCTAGACGTATTGTCATTCAATCTGGCCTAGATTCCATCCAAGGTTCAACCTAGTATTCCTCTTATTCTCCTCTGTTTGACAGCTCATTACCTCACCATCCTAATTTTTTCCGGAAGCACGACACCAACTGAGGCTAATGATCCACTGCCTTTGCGTCCTGCTAGCTCCAAAGACCCAGACGGATGTGCAGTGGTTGAAGGGCCATGAGAAACACAACAACGGAAGAAGCCGCAAAACCAAGAGAGGCTTCTCGCTGCTAGCAAACAACAGACCAGGTCAAGCCAACCTCGAAGCCACCCTCCTCCAACTGGAACCACTTCAAATGATAAGAGGCAATTAAATTTGTTGCTTTTTAACGTGCCTGTGTCTAACGATCCAAGTCTTCAGACACGCTATGATGATGAAGTAGAGTTTTCATCGAGTCGGGTAGATAGGCTGCTCGATGTGGGGAGGAAGGAGTGAAAGCGAAGCAAGTCATCCGCCTCAGTAAAACACTGCTAAAAAAGACCCACCTATGCGTGTAGCTTTTGCTGACGAGGCCAGCCCGAAACTAATACGCTCTCGGCTATGACACGAGAAGGTGCAATTCGTCCGGATGTAGATCCAGGCTGATCGGGAGTACCGCAAGTGTGCTGTCATCTTGCTAAAGCGGCCAACCAGCGAGGGAGAAGAAGACCTACGTATTATAAAAGTTTAGTTAGTTACAACGTGCGCGAATTCGGCTAAATCGATCACTCACTCTTCAGCCACGCCGGTAGTTCTTACCGCAGCCTGTGTGTAGCCTTTACTAATGTATGCAGTCTTATGATCAAGTGCCATGAGCTATGTCACTTCGTGGCTTTTGAGCGACCAGATGTGATAGGGCTCGCAGAGACGTGGTTGAACGACAAAGTACTCACCCAGGAAGTTGGGTTTAGTGGCTACTCGTGCTTCCGTTGTGATAGACTATTGAATGCCCACGGTGGCGTCTTACTCTACAACCGGTATTCTCTCTCTATGGGAGACTCGTGAGCGTCCACTAAAGCGAAGATGACCTATGTTAGTAGTTGTGGTGCTCGATCCACCTCAGACGCGGTGAGCTACTCATGGATGCATTTCATTGTAGTCCCCTGAGTCATTGTTTTGATTGGCTCCTACATCTCCGGGACCACATGAGTTGTCCTCATTTTCTACTCAGAAGTGATTTCAATTGTCCTCGAACACGCTGGCCTGAAGTTCAGTTTATCACAGAATATTGTGAGGCCGAAGTAGAGTTCGCTGAAATGGTACTGGAAACTGGAGCAGCACAACACATCCGCCAACCGACGCGCGTAACACCGCATTCAACTCCATCGTGCTTAGGCTTTATGTTAACCAGTTGTGAACAACGTGTGCATGACATTCAGATCCTGGAGCCTCTGGCAGCAAGCGACCACTCAGCACTTATTGCCAACATGTATCTGCCACTGCAATTATCTTACACACTGTATTAGTGCCGCTTAAACCGAGATTATTTACCAAATCAGAAGACTATGCACTAATATAAGTGATAATATTGTATATATAATAATGTCACATGAAAGAGAGACTTATCGCATGTGCTTGTATGATGGCTGTGAGTCCAAGAATGCGGACGGCTGCGTCGGGCCCTGAGCACGTGAATGGAAGCTTACGCGTCCTTTGTCCGGTCGTCCAGTTGTGTGTGTTTCGTTTTGATGTGGCAAGTATATCCACTTTGTGAGCTGATGTGAGATAAGGTGATTTCTTCACAGCCCATGGTTGCCACCTGCTTTGCCACGCCGGCATGGTAATGGATAGAGGTCAAGTGCTGTTATGACCTCGGCATGTGGATCACGTAGTGTGTTACTTAGGTTTTGCCCTGTGTTAGGTTAAATGAAAGTACAATCCCAAAAACATGAATGTTTTGTGAAGCTTGTAAGGGGACCTAACACACCGCAGCCAGATTACAACTACCAGAAGACGAATTCCGACGGCCTGACTCGAACCGGCAGCCAACTACATTGTTCTCTGTCGCAATCTGCATCTGTTGAAGCTTGCTGGTCAGTTATAAAGGATGGATTAAACACATTATGTAACCAGTTTGTGCCTCTGAAGTGTCGGACAGTCGGACTGAAAAGCCTCATTGGTTCGATAAGCAATATGGTAAGCTGGCTTGGCGGCCGCACATGCTGAGGGACAAACCCCTTATCTCTGGCTCAGTGGGCGACTACGAGATGTATAAAAGGCAGCGAGCTATTTTGAACGGTGTGAAAACGATCAAACGTCTGCATTTCGAAGAGGGACTTGCAATCTCTGCAGAGACCACCCCGAAGGAATTCTTTGATTACGTAAAGCGGTGCCTGGAGCCGACAGGTTACCTACCGATGATAGAGGGCGCGGACGGCTAACTCCTAACCTCCACAACTGAGATTGCGTCCACCTTAGTGGCGCACTTTGCTTCCAATTTTACAAATGATCAGGTCTCTGCATCGAGTTCGACAAGCACCGCCCTTACCGAACTGGCCAGTCCGGAGGATGGTGCAACTACCTGCAGCCTTGACGACACCAAGCCTGCTGATCCTGATGGGCTCCACCCACTGATTCTCAGGTCCTTATCGGCCATAACCTCGCCTGCTGCTATTGACCTATTCAGCAGACCGTTTTGCAATTGATCGGAGATGCTCGGTGGTAAGGCCGATTCCAAAAGACTGACCCCAGCAAGGTAGAAAACTACAGTCCAATTTGTTTGACATCTATTTTGCCCAAGGCTGCCAAGAAGATTATGAAGAGTAAGTGGTGTGCCAGTTTTGGGAGGACCAACACCCAAATATTTCCATTATGAAGTGGAGTTTGCCACAGCTTTTCCGGTCAAAGTATCTAATGACGCCCACACAGCACTTTTTCATGCCAGGTCTTTCATGCATCACCGGCCTGTTCGTGACGAGGCATGAATACTTGATCTACATCGATTTCAGCAAAGCGTTTGACAAGGTGCGCCATGAGGTCCTCCTCCACAAGCTGAGTGTGCGGTGTTGGTGGATCACTACACCAGTGGATCTGCGAGTTTCTCATTGGACGAAAGTGGAGAGTACAAGTCGATAGCTATTTGATCTGTCTGTATCATTCGACTAGTAGCATACCGCAAGGCTGGGGTTTACATTGTTTCTGATTTATATCAACGATCTACCTCTGCTTCTTCGGTCGCCGTGTGTCTTGTTTGCAGACGACCTGAAGAGGTGCAGAACGACGAGAACTTCTGACGACCGCATCGTACTTCGGCAAGACTTCAACCGCATATCCATGTGGTTTGCAGAAGTCCGCCTCCCGGTCAACCCATCAAACTCGGTATTCATGAGCTTGGGGACGGGTGGTGATGGCGGAACCTATACTCTTGACTGCTAACTGCTACATCTCACATCTTCCGTGAAGGACATAGGTGTACTCTCACGTTGCGATTTGAAGTCCGTGGACAACAGGGACAAGCTACGCCGAAACGGAATGCGCATGCTATGGACGCTGAAACACTGCTTCTGCATCTGGTCTGAGGAGGTCGTCACTCGCCATCATAAGTTCACTGCCTTAGTACGGCTCGCTCGCCTATTGCCTGACCACTCGAGGCTAGGCGCAGAAGGTTGAGCGGGTTCAACACGTCACTCCCAGGCCCATCCCCATTTTGTGGGGCTTACCGTACGAAGACAAGTGTGAGAGGCTTAGACTATACACCCGGTGGTGAGTTGACCTCATCATGGCCTACCGCATTCTACATCTCGGTGACTTCCCTATGATGAGACCACTGCTCCACTTGCGAACACCTTGCAGTATATGCGGACCGGTACAAGCTTGCTGTTCCAGATTCGACGCAAGTTCTCCATCGCCTGTGCTTTGAACGGTGAGTGGTCAGTCTTTGGAACAGTTTACCGGAGCATATAGTGAAAGCAAACTCTGCATCAGTTCAAGCGATTCTTGGATGTACATTTCTCTAGTGCTAGATTCCGCGGACGATTACCCCCTGAAATCTCACATTTGTGAGTCCCAATTTATTGTGAGTTACACGTCTTTTTTACGATATCGCGTGAGAATATGAACAACGATCAATATATTGGCTTGCCAAACAACTTCCTCGTGGTGCCAGCTGGGTGGTTCGGGATATTCCCGTTAAGGCAAATGGTTCGGCGGCAGTGTTCCAGGACGTGGTGGGTTTTCGCCTGGCAAGCGTTCTCCCTATAAAAAGCCACATATGTCCGTTTAACAACACTGTGACGTGGCGGACGTGACTCGCCACTAAATAAAGTCACTGTCCCTTGCTTCATCCTTGCGAAGCATTGTATTCCAGCAACTTTGTGCTGTAATTCAGGGGAGCATTGGGCGCCTGTTTGACAAAGGAACAAACGAAAGGCGTATGAACTAAGCAATCAGTCACCGGCTCCCAATGGGCATGATTCCCTGAATTAGCTCCGCTGCCTTGTGGGCAGGCTATTCAGCCAAAGGCTCGGGGTGGTGTCCCCTAAGTCAACACCCTACTTCGGCTTGGGCAATCGGGTAGTATCTCACCCTCTGACGAAACAATGGACTTTAATGTGTTGTGTGGTGTTTTCTTTTACTATTTCTGTACCTTCTTTTGTGTTCCATGGTTTCCGATGGCTCAATGTCTATTCATGGACTGTTGCAATATATATATATATATATATATATATATATATATATTGGCAAGTCCCAGATATAGGTAGGAATTCATCACATCTAAACTCACTCAGACAGCCGTCAAACGCCCGGAAAAGCACTGTACGCGCGTTTCATCCTTTCGAGAATCGTCAGCGGTGCGTATTCCATCGAACCCTGGTAGGGCTCGAACCCGCAACTCGACTGTTGCCAGTCCGTGGTTGAGACTACTGAGCTACAGGGGACGACAACGACCATCGTGAATAAGTTACTAGATGTGATACAGCGCCGCTCAATATCCACTGACTTGCACGTCACGGCCCTGCAGTGGACAGGGTGGCACCCTCACCAAGCGACGAGCTTACCAAACTTAAGGCGCCAATTAACTTCTGGCATTGTAAGCAGTTTGGTCTGCGTTCTGCTTACAGAGGAGTAGTAGGAGGCGTTGAATGGTATAGGTAGATGTTCGTCACATCTAGACTCACTCCTAGTGAAACGCGCGTACAGTGCTTTTCCGGGCGTTTGACGGCTGTCTGAGTGAGTCTAGATGTGAGGAATTTCTACCTATACCATTCAACGCCCCCTACTACTCCTCTGTAAGCAGTATGCAGACCAAACTGCTTACAATGCCAGAAGTTAATTGGCGGCTTAAGTTTCGTAAGCTCGTCGCTTGATGATGGCGCTACCCCGTCATCTGCACGGCGGTAACCTGTAAGTCAGTTGATAGGGAGCGGCGCACATCTAGTAACTTATTCACGATGGTCGTTGTCCTCCCCCGTAGCTCATTGGTGTCAACCACGTACTGGCAACAGTCGAGTTGCGGGTTCGAACCTTACCAGAGTCCGATGGAATACGCACCGCTGACGATTCCCGAAAGGATGAAACGCGCGTACAGTGCTTTTCCGGGCGTTTGACAGCTGTCTGAGTGAGTCTATACCATTTCCCGGCCAAGTTGTCCTCTTGGGCAACTGAAATAATCTGAGGGGGCATTCAACATGAGTCTACTCAATTAATTTGTTCCGTGCGTACGCCAGTCACTTGTGCAGGTGTGTAGGTGTGCGTGTATAGCCCGTCGCCTTCAGCCAATTGGACCTCAGACGCACTAAGTCATAGGGGTGCAGGTGGGACGTTTCAGCTCCTACGCACGGAACAAATTAATTGAGTAGACACATGTTGAATGCCCCTCAGATTATTTCTGTTGCCCAAGAGGACAACTTGGCCGGGAAATGGTGTAGATGTGACGAATTTCTACCTATACCATTCAACTCCCCCTACTACTCCTATGTAAGTCCCAGATGGTATGCTCTTTTGTATCATTTTTTGAGCATATTTCGGTGGAGTTTTACAGATATTGATTCCTACTTGCTCCCCCAATATAGGATGCAGTATTCCATTTATCCCTTAGTTCACAGCATATTGACCAAGCTGCGACAAATTTTGTTGTGATACGGTTCAGCTGCACACAACTGCGCCTGAGGATTCTCCAACTTTCTGCGGCTTTCCGTTGCTGTTCTTACAATTGCACGCCCTGTGTCGGCTTCAGGCACGAGACTCACTTTACCACTGTTATTTAAGTATTGTGTTCCTCTCCGCATGATAAGCTTCATAACGTCCAGCGACTGCATGATACTTTGTGATATGATACTTTATCATCAGTATGTTACTTTATCACCCGGCGTCTTTCTATTATTCTCTGCGAACTTCCTTCCCATGTAGTGCTCCGAACTTCTTGGGTTCCCAACCCACGCAGATTACACTGTAGACATACGCATGGCAAAGAGCGCAGCGAACGTCGCCAAGTTCTTACAAGGCGTGGCAGAAAAGCTGGAGCCGCTGTATTTGAAGGAAAGGGCCCGCTTCCTAGAACTGAAGAAACAGGAGGTGTGTTTTCACTTTCTATCAATCTTCCTTTCTCTTTCGGTTCTGTTTATTCACAACTGCTCATGGATGATTAGCAAAATTTCCATTTCCGCGCTTGTTTTTTGTTCTACTATCTACTTGAAACGATTGTGTGACTCGTGTGTTGTGCTATCGAGTTGGCTTGCCAATTTATCTCACCTGCTTACTACATTTTGGAGTCGCTCGACCACACCGACTCTTATGCTTGGTTGGTTCGGTTTATCTGCTATCCGACACTCCTCTCATCCAAGACTGCAACTACTCCAATCGATATGTGAACGCTGTTGCCTAGGTTCTGCTTCGTTCGCGATAGCCACTAGTTCTATCTTCTGATGACAGCCGATAACCGCATCCGAATGAGTTCAGCGCTGATGCCGAATCTCGTGAATTTTTCCAACTCTTTTTGTAAGATCTCCGGGCTTTGCCTTTGTACGAGACTGTTTGCGAGTGTGCTGTAACCCGTCCTCGTCGAAAGTATCTTTGCAGTTTCTTCTGCACATTTCGACGCTGACCAACCTCGCTCTGTTCAGTCCGAGGCCATTGATTGTTCACTATCAAATATAAAGGCAAAATTTCCAGATAAGCAGAAGATTGAATATTTTAATGTTACTCTGTTCGACCCAAGCGATCATCCATTTGATTGCAAACTAAAATGCACTCTGAGCCGATTTTGTGGCTTCCACGCCCCCATTTCGCACTGTCAAGGCGAACATTTTACCAGCGGCCTGGGCGGCAAATGTAGTAGCTATGCCACTGTGTTCGATTATAGTGCTTCTCAGTGGCAAATCGCTCGGGAGCTTTGACTGAACGCGTTTCCACAGGAATCAAAACAACCAAACAGGCGCTGGATAATGGTCCACTTAAAAATATTTCGAGACGTTACCATTATTGTTGTTATTGTTACTATAATACTAATGCTACTTATTCTTATTATTATTAAATATATCATATCTCGGCAAAATGCACTCCCAGAACAAGCATATACACAACTTGCATTATTTCCACATAGCTAACCAATATGGCTTTAACTCACACGAGTGTAGGCACTAGCAACATCTCAATGCGCCGCGCTTTATACGAGGAAGAAAGTACTTGTGAGCAATCAAAGAATGCTACGCACTTACCTGGGTGTTGCTGTGTCTGCTTGCTGCGCACAATGATGATCTGGTTCAATGGCACATAGAGAAAGGGGCATGAAAGCACGCAGTGAAGCACACGAACTAGATAGTGTACGCGGTTAACCTCTACCCACATCAACATTGCAATATTGTGAGGATACTAACAATGCGAGGTGACATGAGCCGTGCTTAGTCGCGTCAAATGTAACCCATACGATCTACGATGTGTTCGATATCCGAACGCTATCCGAACAACCATTTATATTGGACGAAAAATGCTCGCATTCGCGGGAGGGGGGCACAATCGCGTGCGAATCTATGGATTTTGCTCTACCCTTTGCTGGCATGCCGATTGAATAGCCGAACAACCGTTACAGATGTTGGTGTTTCCTATACGCCTGCGAGTGCGTTGTTGCAAAGTACTAGTCATGGTTGAATTGCGGGGATAGATCCAAACATATCGCACACACACCGTATGCATCAGTGTCCAAAGGGTGCAAGGGGATAGAGATTGCAACCGTTCAGAGCACCGACAACACGACCGGTGGCTACCATATGTAGAGGGAATGCACTTGTTCGGAAATTGGAATTCGGTCAACGGAACTTTCATTTGCATCAACTCCCCAATCTTCGCGACCATTGTGACTCCTATCAGACTAGTTATCCGCACCTTGCAACAGCCGACCATCCAAAGAGAGACCCTGGTGTGTTGTAGCGCAATTGAAAGCAACTGTCAATATGTCAAGTTTCTTTTAGGATTTATCGCAGCATGATGAGTTTGGTACCACTTGGGAGCATAGCTAGGCTTCAACTGTTTCAGTGGACCAGGTACACTATATGCGTTACGGATAGTAGCCTCACAAAAGGAGTGATTATCTTTCAGATGTTTTCGCAAACTCTGTAACCGCTGCGAAAGCATCTCACAATTATTAAGCGTTCATACCTGCGAGCATCACTAATGAAGACTTATCCCAAAATGACCGTTTATCGACCATTAAAATAAAATCTCAAGGAGGATGGTAAAGGTGCCCATGATAGGTCTCATATCTGTCAACTGTAGAGACAGGGAAAGATGCAAGGGGTCCGTCTGTTGCGGGCGACACCACCCGATTCTCCACTCAAAGCCCAGACACATTGCTTTGCCGACCGTGCAGGAGAGTCCTGTTGCTACCTCCACTGCGCAGCAGCGAATGTGTTGTCAGTACGTCTAGAAGTCCCGTTGGGATCATTTAAAACCTACGTCTTATTAGATTTTGGTTCGAATGTTAATTTAGTGGGGAAAGGTCTTTTGCAACAGACGAGCATCCGGGTTGCACCTACTCTTTTGGAATTCAGTACTATGTAGGGATTGTTCTCACGTGAAGCAGGGTGTATAGACTTCACTTCCTCACTGAATGGCACAGATTTATTTTCTGCCCGACATGCTTATTGTTTGCCTAATTTATCCTTGAAAAAATACCCATTTTAGCTCTAGTGAGGAAGTCAGCGCGTCAGTAGCCATACATGTCGGGTGTATCGTTTGAAGCAATTTTAAGGACAGTTGTATCCGAGTCGTTTTAGGCACCGACGTGCCGGCCTCACCATGGCATTTGGAGCAGCCTTTGGGGAGAAGGGATCAGAGGTTTTCTGTAAAGATTTTACTTATCTGGACGTTACTTGGTCCAGTTGGAGAGTGTAACACAGTCATCACTTCTATGCATTTCTCCCAAGTGAACTAACCGTCAGTTGGAGAGCAGCTCGATAAACTGTGCAACAGGGAGTTTGCTCGTGTAGACTCTGGCGATCACACATCTTCAGCGAAACATAAGGCTGTATTGTCCATTGCATAGAATTCTGTCATACTACTTTGTTAACCGACCGGTAATCACGTACGTAAGGTGTCTGGCTTGCTCCTGGTTGTAGTACTCGTGGGGAACTGGACAATGTATGCGATTGTACAAAACCAACATTAATGATCTACCCTAACTTATTATAAATATGCTAATTACTATGAACGCTTATATGCATTGTAACTGCATAATCATTATAATGTAGGACGTCGTTTAACCGAATCGTTATTCAAAACTATTTGTGTGGGGTTAGGTTTTGATGTTGAGATCCATTGCCGTGCATTTCGATGGATTAACCTCTACTACGAGTTCCACATAGCACTTTCAGTCACGTATCCCAGGTAATGCGCAGGTAATGTTTATCTGTAAAAGAACAGTTGTAAACAGTATGCTGCGACATAACATATGCAGCCGACCCCCTAGCCTTCCGATTGGAATGGTTTTGTTTCGTTCATCTCAAACTATAGGATCATGTGCTTACCGTTTCACCGGGCACGTTCTTATACATTTAGGATGCCAATCTGGACATCGTCATCATCATTACACGTTAGCTGGAGGTGGAAAACACCTCAGCTATTATGCCGCAATACAAAGGACAAGAAGAAAATGCAGTGGCACCCCGGCCGAGTCCCCAGGGACGGATGGACATCGTTCCGGAGAGCTGACAGGCGGCTATCGTGCCGCAAAAAGAGCGTTATGTTGTGCCTAACGAATGCGATCGTGATTGGAGGGGATGCTAAGCAGGAGGGAGATGGACAAAGGAACTCACAACACAAGCGCCACTGCGGCCGGTTCTAGCAATATCAGCAAGTGTGTCCAACCAAGCGTGTTCATCGTCCTTAGGACCCCAGCCACGCAGTCGGGATGCACCAACCGCCTCCAACTTCGAAGTGAGGATTTTCATTCCTCTCGACCAAGTCATCGCTTGGCTTCCCCTCCTCCTCTTCCAACCGCACCCCGGCGCGCAAACAATGCACGTCACAGGAATCGGTGTGTGGCATGCGCAACACGTTGCCTAGCCACCGGGGCCTGTTGCTTGATGTAATGGTGCTGGGCGGTTCACTCGCTCTTCCTGCACCAAATAAACGACGCCGAACACGCTCATTGCTCACGCGGTGTTCCCACCAGACATGAGCTAAGCTGCGAAGGCAGCGGTGATCGAATGTGACGAGTCACTTCATGTCAGTCGACCTGATGGGCCAGGTTTCACAGCCATATCGGAGAGTTGAACGGACGGCTGCGTTGTAAACTCTGCCCTTCAGGACGAAAGTAATGTCGCGTCTGCGCCAAAGGTGTCGGAGAATGGCAAAGCACCTCGAGCTTTTGCTGTACGGTTCGTAACCTCATCTTCAATCCCACGGGTGCTAGTATGCCTGCCCAGGTACTTGAATTCCTGAACGACTTCTGACAGATCACCACCAAGCGTTAGCGCAGGGTTGGGTCCCTGCCAATCTTGGAGAAGTACTTTGCATTTCGATGGAACAAAGCATATCCCAAAACGATTGACAGCCAGTGCTAATCTGTCCAGTGCTGGTTGGCATGTTTGGGAGCTGTCACAGATTAGGACAATATCGTCTGCATACTCCAAGTCAAGAAGTCGCTCACCAGAAAGTAGCTCCACACCTTCTAGGTCATGTCCAGCGAACGCTGTTTCCATGACTTCATCAATAGCGAAGTTGAAGAGGAAAGGTGACAGCGGGCATCCTTGTCTCACACCGCTGGTGATACTGCAGGTTGGTGATAGTTTGACATAAACCCTCACCCTGCCCGAACTATGCGCGCACAGCGCTTTGATAATGTTTACATATTTATCAGGCACACCTATCCTCAGCAGACAGTCCCAAAGGGCACGTCGATCGACTGAGTCGAAGACACCTTTGAGGTCAAGAAACACGACAACGGTGGGTCGCCAATAAACATGGCGGTGCTCCAACAATTGACGCAATGTGAAGATGTGCTCGATGCAGTCCCGACCTCGACGAAATCCGGCTTGCTCACGAATCTGGCTCTCACAAGTGCCAGTCAGTCTGTGGAGAATAACAGAGGAAAGCAATTTAGTGGCAATCGAAATCAGACTGATCCCTCTATGATTGCCGCATTCTTCAAGCTAGCACGTAGTTTTGCCCTGAGATTTTTGCGAGCCTCTTTGTATTCGCTTCCAGCCGGAATACGTCGGCGAGCATCCATAAGTTCCAGAGACTGTGTAGAGACCCAATGTCCGGTTTGGCAATTGGCTTTGCCGCATGAAGACATGCCTGCTAACAGCAACGCTTGACGATTATGCGACCAGTGATCTTCGACGGTGTTTAGTGGGCGCTTACTCAGCCCAGATATCAGCGCACTTTGATACACATTCAGAACACGTGGCTTCGTCCACATCGACGTTGCGGACGTCCACGGAAACGCACCAGGAGGTGAACACAGACAAGTGGGTGGTCAGAGTCTACGCTCGTGCTCAAAATCGATCGAGTTTTGGACACAGCCTCTCCAGCGGTCACTGATCGCGATATGATCCATTTGCGTCTATGGCTGGTGCGAAGCTGGTGGGCGCCAAGTCACCCTCCGGCGGGTGCTGTGTCGAAAGTTAGTGCTCACAAAAAAGAGGGGAGCATCTTCACACAGCTGTAGCAATCGCTCACCGTTATCATTACGGGAACCTACACCATGTTGGCCGCCCAGATGAAGTTCATCAGAGGACAATTTTCCGACTTGGGCGTTTAGATTGCCAGCCAAGACCACATTATCCGTTCTTTTTCTGTAACGAAGGAGCTCGTGAAGTTGCTGATAGAAATCATCTTTTACCGAATCAGTGCTACAGTTTGTAGGGGCGTAGGCCGCAATGACAAACAGGCACCGTTTGTCCCCGCGCGACTTCGTAGCACGGAACGTGCCAGCTAATCTAACGGCGCACATCCTACTGTTTACTGAGATCCAATCGATCAGGGCAGCTTCAGGCCGGGGACTCAAAACAATGCCGACGCCAGCTTGAGCGGCATTTGAAGCTGCATCATCGCTAGTCAGGCGCATTGAAAATGTGTCGCCAGTGTCGCATGTGGGGGGTCGCAGGGTAACCACGGAGCTCGAAATTTGCAGGCGGGTTTCTGACAAACAGCAAGTATCGATCGATAGAGTCTCTAGTGTGCGGGCAAGTGCTGCTTGTTGACCAATCTGCAGCAAAGTTCGCACGTTGAGGCATGCCAATCTTAGCGAGACACGAGGACTCCAAAGGGAAACGGATGAACTGACGTTGTCCGCTTGGTTGAACATGGACTTGTCGACTGGATTGGAGCGATGCCCTGCGACTGTGTGTGCTTTGGAACTAGATGACAAGCGACTATTGAAGTGAGCTGGGGGTGGGCCAAGAATTGGGGGATGGAAAATGGGGGGGGGATAAAAGTAAAGTTGGAGCGGGACGATAAGGATGAAAAAGCGCAAGAAGGGGGATAAGAAGAAGGGATGGTTTGAGCAGTAGCATCCATATCCCTATCCACCCTGCTCGATGCAGCAGATAGGGCACAGTTGATTATCCTCTGCGACGGACAGAGCATCAAGAAATTGTTGTAGGAAAGATTCATTGTATTGCGTGGGCAGAATACTGTCAGGTTGCCCAGGCCTAGACAGGAGAACGATTAGGGATCTTAACCAAAGCCTTTGGTTCAAAAACCTTACCGCAACGCAGCGGGTTTTGGCACTGGACTACAGAGAAACCGTTTTATGAAATAAGGAGCCACCCTCATTCCAACCCTCAACCTGGAGGACCAGGAGGCAGAGTTTGTCTGGCCTCTAACCATTGACCAATCTGGTATGAGTGGCTCTGAAGGTGCAAAAAAAGCACCACCCAGCATAGCTCAATGGATCGCTGAGGCACGCAAACCATCGCACCACGGTAAGGTCCAGCCTCATTGCGATGGACAGGAACGGTGTAGTACACTACACCAGCAGCCGGTTCGATCCGGCGCAGGTGCTGGCGAAGGCACTCGACTGGTGCTGACTTTATGGCAGCGAAGCCCACGGACGGCGTGCTGTCACACTCCTGATGCTCTCGTTGCTTGTCAACTCGGGTGACTATTGGTTGCTCCGCGCTCTTCACTTCCCCACCAACCGAATGGCGTTGACGGTTACGCACTCTCAACCAACCTCGTGCTGCTGGTGGTTTAACTACATGCGATCTTGGTCGTTTGCTTACATCATTACTCGAGACACAGATGATACCTGCTTGGTGTGACATTCCTGCCGATGTTCCATCTGGCTTATCTACACGAAGTTTCAGCTCTACGCCCACAGTGTGTACACATAGCGAATCGGTGAACTTCAAGTCAACTTCAAAAGGGCAGTGCAAGTTCCGGCACAACATGCCGACGCAACCACCAACAGTCGCGCTGGGGCTGAGAATGCCTTGAGGTCACCTGCACCTATGCGGATTCGAACCGGCGACCTCCGCATTGCAAGGCAAAGGCGTAATCCTTAGGGTCACCGGCCGACAGTTTGTAAAGATTAGCGAGATGGAACACTGTCGACGTTGGAGTTGACAGTAGGCACTAGTTCGCAAAGATGAATGCGGGCCAGGGTGGTTGTCGTAATCTACACTTCCATCACAGAGCTATTCGTTCCCCTTTGTCGGAAGTGGCCTATCAATGGCAAATTTGAGTCGCATGAGTTTTCATTTGTACTACGGGCTAGCCCACACTGCCAGCATGCACACAGTCGCTAGCCATTTGGCAGATGTTTTACGCTGTTCTAACTTGATATGATTTGAGTTTATTTAGTGAATGCGCATTCATTTAAGTGTTCGGGTGCAGCCTGACGTGCACTTTAACGTCGAATATTTGATTGCCCACCCACTTTGAGCTTTTTCACTGGGTATTGTGGAATCCCATCCTATCTGGCTTTTTGTTTCTCATGTTTCTCTTTATTTATTATAGTCCTTCCGAATCAATTTCTCATTTTTCCACCCGGATACTTGTATGGGTGAGATGTCAACTAAGGAACGTTTACTGAAGTTCATCTTGTTCACCATTCTGAGAATTGGCCTAACCAACTACCGGCGCCATCTTTCTCAAGTTTGTTGGTCTATCCCTCACTTATCTCTCCACTGTCCTCACTGGTTCGATTGTCCCATAGTTCACGATTCTCCCCCTTTTCCCTCATAGTGCGATCGCCTAAACATACCATTCAGTGGACAATTGGATCCATGGGATCTTCGTTACTACTCTAATTTAGTCAAAGAGAAAGACTACGCCGTTGATCAACAAACGTTGAAGAAGCATTTCCCACTGGATGTGGTGAAAGCCGGTACTCTACGACTGTACCAACATCTTCTCGGATTGACATTCGCGCGCGTCGAGACCACCGAAATTTGGCATCCCGATGTTGAGATGGTGAGCCGTAATGTGCTTCCCTACACCTTGTTGCCATTCATTCATGCCGTCTTGACGCAGTGCTGTAAGTCTGTGTTGGCCTGGTTGTTTGTCTCCTTTTCCGCCCTCAGTTAATATGAATCGCCAACTACCTCTGTTATCCCTGTGACTCTCCCGTATACAACAGTTTTCCATCTCCTATTGGGTCTCTGTCCACATTCGTCTGGTGCCTTTATGTAACCGCTACCCCGTCGCCACAGAGTGGCATCACGACGGGGAGTTTGCGTCGTCTTTACATCAGCGCCAAGATTATGACGTCCTGGGCTCTTAAACCAGACATTTGTTTTAAGATTGTGCAACTAAGATGTTTGTCGGCCTCTGTTCCACAGTCGCTTCAGTAGGTTACTTTCTTTTGCTTAATCTCCAGCTCCTAACCTCTTTTCCAACTGAGCACTGAAGCTGTATTCAATCTATCTACCTAGATGGCCGCGTTGTAAAACAATTGGGTTAGTTTCACGAGTTGTGACACCGTGAACCTTCTTCTGCCATTTGCAAAATATGTTGCACCACTCAGGGCCGATAATTAGACTGCGAAGCAACACACACAAACAGCTGCTCTTGTTGTCCTTGTTTGTGGCTGCGACACCACCTGTTGTTCGACTCGAATATCGTATATTTTACACTCTCTCCGTTATCTCCATGTATGAAAAACTATGATGTGCGTCCATTGGCACTTTCGAATTTAAACGAACCCGGCAGTCTCCTTAGTGATCTATCTTCTACCCCTAGAACTAACTAAACTGTCGCTGATCCAACACCAATTGAGTTGCTGCGATTATATTCAGTGATTGTCTTTGTTTGAACAGTTGTGATCCGTCACGGTCGGTCCGAACGTTGTGCAATGATTTGCGAACTCCTCCCGACCTATTTGGAAAGCTGTCGAATACCTTGAGGTCTGTTCCCACCCAACTTATCAATCGGCAAACCTTACCTTCAACTAGTCACCTGGTGCTTTCGTTCGTGAATTTGTGCCGGGACGATCCCAGTTCCTATGCTACTGCTGTCTTGTGGTTGAGGATAGATTGGTTGCTTTCCTGCACAGCGTAGGGCACCGCGACAGTATCCCATCCTTCTTAAGGCCATGACGTTCCCACCAAACTTGCGCAACACCATACATCAACTATGGCCTAGTTCCAAATGGGTCGTCCTACTATTTACTGTAGGGAAACATGATACTGCCGACACCACCGTTACATTGCTATTTGCCCCTCGGCCAATGGCTGAGTGGTTCAGGCATCTGGCTTGCCATTCCATTAGTCCGCGACTCGAGTCTGCAGGATTTTTAACCCGTATGCGACAGTTGTTATTCACGCGGCCTCGATGCACCAGTACGACGTACCGGCATACTGTTGACGCTCCCTTCTCTCTCTTTCATTCCCCATCTCAATTACACAGCCTACCTCTTTTGTTCTCTGATGTAACTGAAGACAATCACTTTATCGCTGAACTCCCATTACCTGTTTTGCTTTTGTTGGAATAAGAAGGAATTTCCATTAAAGGCGACCTTGCGGTACCCCTTATCCACACACGACTGGTGGTGTTCGCGCGGCAGATGAGTATCGGCACGATGTAGAAGCAGATTGCTGATGCCTTTGCCATAGTCATGACCGTCCTTGCCGGCAGTAAAACTTGATTGTTTCGATCCGAAGATCTCAATTCTCTTCTGTTCTGTAGCAATAACTACGTACAGAGCATAGCCTAGATGGGTGTCGCGATTGCTAAGCTATGGTGTTCGGGTAAAATTCTCAGATCCACCAACAATTGTGAATAACTCGCGTTGGTTTGAGCATTTCCTACAAATGCTCGCCGGTCATTTACCGAGGTGAGTCTTAATCTGTTTATGTTGAATAATTGAGCTTTGGGGAGCAATCGTGAACTTGCAGGCGGGAATCGAAGTTGGTACCCACAAAAGTGATTGTTGTGTCATGCTGGAGTCCACGCTACTCATCTTGTGGCAGGCTCGAAGCGTTTCAGGGTCTGGATCGCGACGGTCACCAATAGCGTGTTTTCTGCCGTCTCCTACGCGAACCCGTCTTTTTACATCTTGTATCATGTACAGGTGGTCGGCCTTGCGGTTTACTCAGCCCGCGCGCAACGAAGCGCCGTTACGGTGTACAGCTGACACACATCATGTTCAGGTATCTGAGACTGTCCCACCGATTCCTTTCTTTAACATGGTACTTAAATGTTGACCTTTTAGGGTTGTTCAGGTGTAACAGTTGTGCTTCTGGTTGTTTGCCTATGGTATGTAACTGTTGCATTAGGTTTATGTTACAACTGCCTCTTGATTACGGCACGCTCTGACGATCCGGTATCAACTCTCCTTGTCGGTCGAACCAATGTAGCTTGGAACTATTTCACGCACGACAAAGCAACCGACAAAATTCGAAGTTGTACGATCCATGAGACTTGAGGCGCAACACGGTTACTACGCGTGAGTTGCACGGGCTGCTAGACCGAACACAATTTCACCCGCAGCTACCCAGACCCTAGAGAACAAGACAAAAGAGACAGGCTTTTCGCACAAGCACTTTTACCGGCCAGACTCAATGCGATTACAGCGCATTGCAGCGCCACTTTTATGCCTCGATGATGCCAATTATTTGCGTAAGCAAACCCTGGATGCAACTGTATTGGCACTATGCAAATACGCCAACGGAAAATGTTGAAAATTGAATGTTGGTAGATGCGGAGGCTGCACTGGAATACTGAGTGTTTCTTAGGTAAAAAAACGGCTGAATTTTTTTGATGACTGAAGGGAGGTTGGCCGGAAACAGCAATGTTTTCTGAGGTACAAAAGCCAACCGAAACGTGAATGTCTCACGAGTTGGAAGGCTGTACGAAACATGTGCACTTGTCTGAATCGAGTCTCATTGCCTTCCGTGCTTTAAGCTTATGATTATTATGGGTACGTTGGGTCCCCATAACTGTCTACTTCCTCTCTTGCTCCTCATTAATTGTTTCATTGTGGTTGAATGACAGCGGAACAGCATTACAATGGCTGTTGTCACTATCGCCATTGGCCGCGACGACGATCGTGCTGACGATGAACCTGTTTGACATTTGCCCTGATGCATGTTGGATCCATTTTCGAAGGTTTGTTTAAACTGACCGGTTGATGCGTGTTCCTTGCTCAATTTTCTTAGCTTCACTTTGATTGCTAGTCATCACGTGGTCTAATCATCCAACGCAATCGACAGGCAGTAGATCCAACACTCTAGTCGCACGTTCGCACGTATCTTTCCTGATAGATTGATTTGGCAATGTGCGCGCATTGGACTAGCTTGATCACTACGGTTTCTCGCTGCATTAATCATTGCCATCATAATATAGAAATCAACGAACCTTTGGAAGCGTATTCAACTAATGAGGACAAGGTCAACACTAGGGGGCGAGAGACAGAATTCAAGAGGTTCATTAACTCCCCAAAGGTACAATTTCAGATGAATTGCTTCGCCGGTTATCAGACGACCATACTATGCACCGGCACCATCAGTTCTTCCGTACAGTCATGCCATCCCTCTTTGACTTGATCAGTCAGAGCCTTCATTCATCCGGCGTTGGCTTGGTGAACGGCTTGGTCGGCGTTATTAGTCGACGAACCGATAGACCCGACCATTGTTGACGACTGGGTTTCTGTGCGTGGTTCAACACGTCATCAGACGGTCTGTTACCGTACTCTGACTGGCCTACACGAGCCGTGTTCGACTTTTGCTCTCATCGGACATACTCCTTGTTTCGTTGGCATCGGTAAGCGAACGCACTTGGGCACTTAATGTTTCCTACGATCGACAGCCTTGTCTCCGATCCGACCTCATCGCAGTCTTGCGTTTTCTAACATTGGTCAGTAAGCAAGCATTTCATCCTTGGCACGGTTGATTGCAACTCTGGAACCCTGTGAACCCTGCTCAAAAACCAATTGCTGTGATGATATTGCAAAACTGCACTTAGTAATTCAAATGTGAACTTGACCTTCATAGGTATATGCTCCACAACCGGACACTACATCCCTTTAACACACCGGCTGCATTAGGTATGTACCTTGTGCATTCAATAGTGTCTGCGTTGGATAAAGCGTGCAGGTCCTATAGACAATAGGTCCATAGATCTCTTGACCGATCAGTTCTACTCAACTTACTTTATTTGAACGGAGTCCACCCTGTTGTTCGTGTTTTCTTTCCTGACTTTCGCTGAGCGTACCCACTTTACTCAGTTAAACGGCAATAGTTCCACTATGCTCCGCGTTGACTGGTGTTTTACAGCACCCCATCTTCTCACCTTTTTCTTTTCCTTATTTCTTGAAAGTCTCTCCATACCATCAACATTCATTGGATGTAATTGTGCTGACGATGTCATGTTGGATTGCACGGCTCTTTCCATTGAGATGTCTACACTTCAGTATGGTTTGGACGAACTTGTGAATAGGTCATCGTGGAGGTCCATTAACCTTTATGCTTTGAAACGCAATGATATAGCATTTTCATTTCTCTGCACTGATAAGTTGCGAGTGATTTTAGATGCCTCACCTCTATTAACCCTAAAGGACAAACCCATGCATCTTTCATTCACTGTTATCTAACTCAGTGTCTATTTTTCCCAATGTTTCTATTGGTCCACGCACCTTTTGAAAGCATTTCATACAATCAGGTTTTATTTTTATGCTTTACGATTTAAGAGGCTCTCTCCGTGCCGCGAAGTTTAATTTTGCATGTATACTAACCCACAGGTTGTACGGTTTCCTGGTAATCTTCCTTGAACTACTAAAAAAGGCTTTGTTTTGATTGTACGATCAATTAAATGTCTTTCCAGATGTAGTGCATTGTGAAAAGATTCCTTAGTTGGTTTTGTTGTTTGTAAGCATTTTGACGCTTGCATGCATTTTTCCTCTAAGTTCCTAAGCAACCACTTTTATCTTTTACGTAATGCTCTCAAAAACGTTTTTTCATATCTTGAAGTGGTTC